TTTGATATGTTTTTCTTATGCTTGAGGAAACTTCCAGATAGAAGAAAACACAGAAAAATTCACCTTGCTCCTACAGTGGTTGTTCCTGGCATGTGGCTTTAGGCATGTGTGAAACTATATAACAGCAGTTGCTCATTGGAAAACAGGGGAGCGTTTAAATGCACATATTCACCTAAATATGACCTTTTAAGGCTGAGTATCTTTTGTTAGATAAAAGTCAGAAAGTAATTTATTTTTTTTTTCAGAATCTTGTTCCACTTTCAAGAAAGGGAGTAAATCACTATCAACAGCACATCCTTAATACATGAGTTATATTGCATACTCTTCTTCACAGGCTGAGCCTTCAGAACGCTGTGGGTCTTATTCAGGATGTCATGCCAGTGGGCAGGTGACCATTGCCTTATTCACAGTGACATCTATTGGCAAAAGCAATATGCAAAGGCCTCTTTTTCTACTAGAGTGCCTCTTCTATCTTTAGCCTTTTTCTTTAGCTTTGCCACATCTGACCTCTCAGTTATTCCCAGTCAGTTCAGAATTTTAGATTACTTAATATAGCTTAGTCTTTTATCATATTTTCTAACCCAATATCCCTGTTCTCAGTCAATCATTCATCTATTTCTGTCAGGGGAAGATTTTATATCAATCATCAACACCATTTGCCAGTTTATTAATAAAAACATAAACTATAAAATAAATTGAAGTTTCAACAGGCCAAAAAACCAGAAATCAAGAAAAACCCCTCTGAAAAACACCAAGAATGACTGGGTTCACTTATTTCCTCAAAATGACCAAAGTGCTGCTAAAAAAGAAGAAATATTGAGGCCACATCTCTGTCTGTTATTCATACGACTGCAGAATGGAAAAGAACTAGATGCAAAGTATTGGCATTTAAACAGCTGATATTTCATTAAAATATTTACAAACCAGAGACAGAAAAAATAATTAAATCAGATCTTCAGAAAAATACATATTTATTATACCTGTTGCATGTAACTTAAATGATTTTCATCTGAAAAATGAAACTGTCAGTAGTATCTACAAATTACTCAAATTTATTTACCCAAGTATGTGGGTGAAATTTGATAAAATAGAAACAGACACCGGAACTGACAGTGCAGCACAACAGTTTTGTTAATCACAGGCAGAGAATCTTTGTTTTCATATGACAATCCAATATTCTGTCAGAGACATTCCCTGTCCTCAAATTCTGCTGCACAGGAGGAGAGAGACAGATCACACAGGCAAATGTTTCACCACAGTGAAACTTGGCATAAATGATGGACAGGTTGACAGAAATAGGAAATAAAATATTAATTTAGAAAATTTTTTGTTTCAGCATTTCAGTACTTTCTCCTGTCTAACAAAAACTGCAGATACACAGAGAAGGTCCTCTGTCACTGAGTCCATCTCTTCACAAATAAGAGATACAGAAATAACAGTATCTAAGAGATTAAATCACAGACCAAATCTTTGTATATCACATCTATAACTAGAAAGCAAGATCAGATTGGGTGGGGGAACAAAAAAATTTAACAGCTAGATCAAAAGTTAGTTGCAGTCCATCTAGCAGCAGAGTGATAAGGGAGATTGTCACCATGCTTTTTTAGACTAATTAATAGACAGTAAAAGAAATAAGCTGCATCTCTTGAGCAAGATTCCTCTGGTATTCATACCTTCATGCTGAGCTTACAACCTGAAGGTGCTCCAAGTTTCTCAATTATTTGCAGGTTTTAACATCTGAAGATTTATCTTGTAACCTTGCCTATTTAAAGCTATAAGAATCTAAATCCAGAATTTTTTTCCATTAAGTTTATAGAAACTGTATAACATGGGGATCTATATTATTTTATTCATATACCATATTCCACTACTTTTTTTCTGTGAAGTTGAGATTTATTAATTGACTACCTGGGATTTTTTTTTCTTCAAATTAATTCTTAGAATTTCTTTAGGTCCCAGTTCATGTCTGGAAGCAATTGAAAGACAAATCTCTAAACCAGCAAAAAAAACATAGGTATATAGCCAATGGGTGTATGGTATCAAACAGATGTCTGATGTATCTTCAACCCACTGTACTACGGAAGGGAAGACTGCTACTTCTCAGGTTTTTTATTTGACATAAAGAATATTCCCAGCTGATGTTAAAGATGTGCAACATTAAAAACATCATGAGAATGATGGCAAATGCTATATGCATAGTAGAGCAGACTGCTAACCTCCTGTGCTAAAATCAGCAGAGCTGACCCCAGGGCTCTGCTCTGGTTTATTTAATTCTGAGAATAAGTTTATGCGTGATCAACCTTCCAACAGTCCACAATTCTTGACAGCTAGTATTTCCAGCAAATAGACTCTACGGTTTTTTGGTCACTGAGCATTTCATTCCTCTTAATATAAAGGCTCCAAGTATGTCAGAGTTAAGAGTTGATCAAAGGGACATGCAGCTGCAGGGGGCTGGGGGGTGGTGACATATTTCAGCCTCAGATGCTGTAGAGGACAACATGGAGCTCACACTTGAGATAAAACTCTCTGGGAGCACACAGTCTGAGAGTCAGTGTAGCTTAGGCACAGAGGAAATTAGTGACTGAGGGAGCAACCAAGTGCTCAGAGCTGAGACTGTGTCTAAATTCTCACTTTATAGTTGTAGGGGATGGATAACCTGAGAAGCTGCTTCCAAAGGATTTCAGGCAACTGTGCTTTTCTAGTCTTTTTCAGAGGTCACCACTTTAGCTAGGCCAATCTAACATGAACATGGTGCCTCCACAAAAAGGGAATTATTTGAACGATGACTTCTAACACTTATTAGCATAACTATGAAAATAGTCAATAGATAAAAAATTCACCATCAGAAACTGCAGAATTGATTGCATGTCTTACCACTGCCAAAAAATATTTTATTTGGAACATAAAGGCATACCTAATACTACACTGCCCAAAGACAGACTTTAAATGATGGGTGACAATTTTTCCAAACCGAAAGCTGCAGGTGTTAATTATAAAAGTATAGCCTTCTCTATAGGCTCTTCAATAGAAAATACAAGACACATTCATAAAATCCATATTTTATTTTGATAAAATCCTTATAAATATAAAAGCATTGAATCAACTCCACTGTTTACAATATGTAAGAAATATGTAACACTTCTGTTTACGATATGAAGCAGTAGCCTTATTCCTTTCTCTTCTGAGACAAACATATCCTTTCTATCCTTCTTGCAACTTGTAAACATTTTTTTTCCACATTCTGTAGCTACTCACATAATAGGGAAACATATGAGATCAAATCCTAAGTCTAAAAAAGGAGTGAAAACATACAACATACTCCCATTTTTTTTTTAGTGCTGCTAAATGCCTTTTATTTCTCCAGTGGTCTGTTTGTGATCTTTTCTTCAAAAAATACTCAAAAGGCATTGGTAGGCCTTGCAGGATATAATAGCTGTATTCTGGGGAGGAGAAAACAAGAAAGTCCACATATCTTAAACTAAGATAAAATATATCTCTGTGTCTAATTTATTGTTCTAAAACAGCATATAAAGTCAATCCTGATTGTGTTTTCCCTCAGGTTTGTTCATCTAAGTTCAAATGACCTATTGAGGTAAAAGGCAGAGCATATAAAACCTACTTAAAAATGAATTCAAGGAGAGCAGTCATGGAAGATGAATTTGTCAGAAGTACTACAGTGATAGTTGTTAGTTGCTGCCAGTAAAACCTCTAGCTGCCTCTTTCAGGTATCAGTGGGTTTTAATATGTAGTTCTCAGAGCTTAGCTGAGAGTAAATCTAATTCTATCCTAAGCTACATCCTATGGAATGTTCAGTAATAAAAATATTTGGTGTAAAAACCCCAATTATATTCAGATTAAAAAAAGCTCCTGAGAGAAACACAGGCTCCAGTCAACTCATAAAGTCAGATGTTTCAATATATTGCTATTGAGGGCTCAGCTTTTTATTAGATGTTGACTTGATTCCAATATCTTTGGCTCTCTGACTATTCTCTTTGGTCTTGGAATATAAATGTAATCACTGAAGTTCAGCTATGAGAGCAGAACATCAGCCAGCACCTTGAGACATTCTATACCTGGGTAGTACTGTGCTCCACAGCGAGATGAGAGGCAAGCAGCACATGGTTCACACTGCAGTGTCCAACAGTCTGGAGCAACAGCTACCCCTGCCTCTTGATTTTAAGTCACAAAGTCTGACACTACATGGATATAGTGTAATAATCCCTTATTTTTCAGCCAACGCAACAAACTGGATTTAGGAAGAAACAGCTTCCTCTATGCCCTTTCACCTTGCAGTTTTCAGGTTTCAGGACAATTTCATCTTGTCACATTGTGAAATTCAGGAATACCTATTCTACCTGACATGATCTTGCAATATACAAAATCCTTACTATTTGCTTTAAAAAAAAAAATAAAAAAAATCAATCAGTAGATGATTACTGCTATGAAGCAGCCAGAATAACAGGATCATGTAAATATCTGTTTTACTTAAATGTTGCTAGTCATTACTGCTTTTTGTAGGAAAGTAAGCATGGTATTGCAAAAGTCAACAATGAAATTACATCATCCTTGAAATATTTTTTCCTTGAGAACTGCAGTGTGAGGTTTATAAAGAAGCTAAATATTATGTTAGAGACCAGAAGAATAATCCCAGAATATCCTATACTGTCAATAATACCAGGGATCCTGTTCAGTAATTTGGTGACAAAATCTGGACAACTCCTTCACCACGTTTGACCCTTATGATTAGCAGTGACCTCTGTGTAGGCAATGCTGATGGCTCACTGCTTCCAAGCCAATGCACTCAAACCCAGTCAGACCTGTTAACATCAATGACCCTGTGACATCTCCGGATTTACCTGCCTGTGAGAAATGACTGCATGTTAAACTACTAAAAAAACAACAGCTATTTGTTAAAACAACTCACAAAAAAATCAAAAAAAGAAAAGAAAAGGAAAAAAATTAAAAACACAAAGCATATTAAGTATTAAAATGAATTCAGCCTTTGGTTTCAGAGGGAGGCTACTTTGGATTTACTCCTTTAATTCCTTCTGACTTCTCGTCCCCTTAGAGGCTGGGGAGGCCGGAAGTTTCTCAGCAAGCAGCAGGCAACCTCATCCTCAGCAGTGCTCAGGAGGCTGCGGAATTTGGCCAGCTGTAACCAAAAGAGACATAAAGTTCAGCAGATAAACCCTGATATCAATACTAATGAAAAAGCATGTAAATATTAAAGACGCTTTTCACTTTTTTTCCACCTGAAAGAACAGACCTCTATTTTATTAAGTTATGAGGGGAATGGCAATTTCACCATTTCTATCCTTGTAAATGAAAAAGGATGACTACTGAGAAAATACCCCAAAATACATGTCAACGTGAAGCTGTGTGTAAGGATTACTTGTTTCCTTTGTTCACATTTTGTCTTCCATAACATGATCTAAACTGGGGGTGGGTGGGGGTGTGTTATATTTTTTTAGTTTGATTTCATATTTTGGAGATTGTGAAATGCTTTTCACCAAAATATAAGATTTTGTTTCTTATCATACAAACATTCTGTATATGTTTCCTTCTTAAAAGAGTTTATTCACAATTAACCTGGAATTGCAGGTGTGATGCTACAGAACGCTTCTGCAACTAGCACTTACTCCAGCCACGGGATATTACAAATTCTTTCCTTGTGAAGACACAGGACAAGCACTTATTAATAATTCAGCATATGCTGATCTCAGCAGAAATCCCATCCCATGTCTAAGCCTTGGGAAATCTCAGGCTGATTTCTGACCTAAGTTTAGAATTTTGTTTAATTTCTAATATTTCCAATAGTTACTACTTCTATATAGCTCCTTAATTCCCTCCTAGGTTACCAAAGGTAGGACAGCACAAAAACCACTCCATTATAACAGAGCATTTAGCTGTATGGAAACTGCACGGTAATGACATTAAGAGAAGAAAAGGTCAATGCTATCTTGCTTCACCCCATTCCAAAGCTAACGTTTGTAATTCAGGGTCCTGTAAATTTCTAAACACTTGAAAGTTATTTTTAACTTCTTTGGTCCTGAAAACTGCAACAAAAACTCAGTAGTAAACTCTAAAGCCCTAAAGAAATACAAACTCAAGGAATAAAACTAAGTGGTAGAACAGTATCTGTCACAGTGCTGACTGATCAATCACAATGTGGACATTACTGGAAACACTTTTGCTTCGTGAATGTTTCTATTGATAAGAATATAGCAATTTCTACTTTAATACATAAGATGTAGCTAAAGTTTATGAAAAATGACTAATTAAGGATCACTACATACTTGACACTTCCCCACACCATGTTCTCTGAGCTTGTTACACGTAGCTGTTTATATACAGCACTTCACGTTTTACAACGTATTAATTATAGATTTGCCCAAATAAGAAGCTTTTAACCTGAAAAATGGCTTGATTTTGGAAAGTTGATACCTTAACACAAGTTTTCCATCCTAGATCCATACACATTGCAGCGAGTCTTACAAAGCCAGATTGAGGAGGAGATACAGACGAGAAAAATACACTTAGCAACTTAAATGACTTCATATCAGTTACAAACAAATTTGAGATTTCCTTACAAAGACACTCAGGGAACTGTCTTAACATTTTTAGCAAAGGCTGAAGTCACCATTTCTGCTGATTATGTGGTCTCTACTCAGAAATACTTTACACGCAAGAGGATCAGCCCGCTGGGTGTCACTGTTGCCAAGTTAAGATACAGGATGAAGCTTCAACAAGAAATGTAAATAGACTCTTTTATGTCGAATCACAGCTTTCTTAAAACAGCCTAGCATAACCCCAACTTACTACAATTCCTTTTTCACAATTCTAGTAAATTCATCAAGTTTTATGTATTTAGAATGCAAGAAGAAATCTACTACTTGTCTGCCAGATAAAAATGCCAAAGATGAGGTTTGAGCAGGATATGCAGCTAATTAAATCAACTGGAATTCCAGAATTTCTAAGCATCACCAGAACTATTTTTTTCTTTAAGTTCCCTATGGATTATTTTTGTTTATTAATTTTTAGAGTATGCAGATTCTTTTAAAAAAATGAATAATAAATAGCTGTTACAGCAAGAAAGGCAACTAATCAGAATAAATTTGATATACAAATTTTGGCTTTTGAAAATCTTGTAAGGTCTGCAGTGTGAAGGTCTGCAAAAAACCATAATTTTGGGTGGCATTTACAATTCCAATTCTTACAAAAGCAACATTTCTATAGCAGTGAAAAATTCAAATATACCTGTTCAGAACAAACACTTATGGGCTCTCTCAGAACAATCCAGATGACGCTCTCAAGAAGAGGTGGAACAGTGAGAGAGCCAAAGTAAGTCCAATAGTCCAGGGACTTGGGAAGCAGACAGCTGGGATCAAAGTTTGTGAATAGTGCTTTTTTTCCCTAGAAATAAATAAAAGAAAATAAAATACCAGGGCAATATTATTTAAAAGCAAGAGGCCAAGGTAAATCATGCCAAAGGAGGTAGAGCTTGTTCTCCTAGCAGGTGGGCTGGCAGCACCTGGGTGATAACAGGAGGTCCTCATCACTGCCCTCCTGATGAGGTCTTACCTCGGTGAAAGCTTTGCTGTGACTTTCCTCAATGCCAGCAGGACACCATGAAAGGTGTCATGTTAGCACAGGCTCCCCAAAGTTACAGATGACCATGACATGGAAGTTGTGGGGAGAAGACAGAAGATGTTAGACTTGCAGCACGGTCTCCATGGGGCTGGCAGAGTTACCCCACAGGTTACTGCCAATTGCTTCCCTCCCCACTCACTCCTCCCAGGAGTTACTTCTTGTTCTCCCTGTACTGGCTGACAGGCCACAGATATGTTTCTGAAACATCATGTTGAGTCTGGCTGATTTCTCTCACACAAACAGAGGGTTATTTCTCACCCTGTACCTCAACAAAACAGGGAAGGAAGTCTTTCCCTCATCTTTTTTACACAGCTCCATAAAGTATGTTTTTCCCCTGCTACTAGCCTCATAGCAACAGATTTATCAGAGACTGGGTTCTGTGAGGAACAAGCCTTCTCCTCTGATCTTTTACTGTGTAAAAATTATTTTTTGTCTAGTTTTCAAATTAAACAGAATGCACATAAACTCTCTCAAATCAGGTATCAATTGCTAGGGATAAGGAAATGTGTAGGTGCAGGGAGTAGCAGCCAGATTTCAAAAAATAAAAAACCCCAACAAAAGCCAGCACCAATATTGGCTAGTATTCTTTCAGAAGCACTTGTTCACCTTAATTCTGATGGTGTCCAAGCGGTCAGTAATCTTGTTCAGCTGAGGGTTGCATTCACCAATCTATTAACACCAAACAAAAAAGAAACACTGGAGCTCCAGAGAAAAGCAACAAAAATTAATGATAAGCAAATGCATAATGAAACTGTTTTATATAACTGAAGTGACTGTAAGATCTGATGCACTTTTTGAGTACAAGCCTGTGACTAGCAGGTCCTTAGAAATAATACTGGTCATAAAGAAGATTCACTCCCTTGCTCATAGTATTCTGGATACTAATTGTAATTATTTCAGCTACAAAAGAATTACAAACTTTTCATTACGGGGGAATAGAAACCATTTATCTTTCATGTTTTAATAGGTGGGATAATAAAACTTACAGAATTACATCCGAAATTTAAACTGCTTATAACATTGAAAACATCGTTCTTATGTAAGAACATTCCAAACAGAATTTGCGTGCTAAGAAATACAGTTTTCCTTGAAATCCCATTTCTCTTGAGTCATTATAATGCAAACTGGAAAGACAGAATTACTGAATTGCTGAAGCAGTTCTTTACTGCATGGAATGGCTCTCTGACTGCACCAGCACCACTACTAGCTGTTCTCAGGAAGCTTTGTCATCCACCAGAAACCACAGAATTGACCAAAGACCTATCTTTTGCCATAAACTGTATGAATTCCCCATCTTCTTCTTCATACAGAAGTCAGTGAAGCTGTTGCATTAATTTAATCTTAGGTGCAGAAGGCAAAAAGGTCTAAAATAATTATTAAGAAATTCTCCAGTTTCTGGTTTTGTATTTTAAAATAATTGTTATTTTCCAGAAGAAACTGCCAGCTGAGAAAGAAGCCATTACAGAAACCTTTAAATCAAGCTGTCCCCCTAAAGGAACATGCTAGTCAAGTACAAGCTACTGGGATTCAAACAGAGGCAGCTGAATTAAGTTCCACATCTAATGTTGTATGGGCTTGTAGACTAGGCAAACTGAAGAGTTTGACTGTCTTGAAAAATCCGCAACTTAATACTAGGAAGGAAATAAGTTTAAAATAAGAATCTCTTTAGCAATATTTACACCAACCATCACCATTATCTCTTTAGTCTTATAATGCAGATTTATTATGAGGGCTGAAGCATTCTCATCTTACCTTCAGAAATACAGCCATGACTGCTAGCCCATCTGACTGAGAAGCTGCCTCAACAAAACTGGAATACTTTTCTGCATTCCAATGGACCACATGAAGCTGAAAAGCAAGAGACACAGACAGCATCAACTCTTGCTGAACTCAAGTAGTGGCAAATGAATATTACAACTTTACTGGGTTTGAAAATCTATTTCATTCTTTTGTATGAAGAATCGTTCAGTGTTCTAAATGCAGATATTTCATGAAATGAGTAAATATTACTTCACACAAATGACAAAAGCATTCCCAGTGTCTGTGATTATTAAAAATTTACCAGAAATCAGTACACCACAGTGCCTGTCAAATTGCTGTTGGGTCCCCAGATTTGAGAAGACAAAAAAAAAATCCATTGGTTATATAACTAGAGGTTTTAAATCCATTTTTAGTACAGCTGATTTTAAAAAGTGATTGAAATTCATGAGGATGTCATTCGTATTTTACTCCTCTTTTTCTTTAATCAAGCTTTCAGCAACATTAATCATCCACATAAATAGCTAGAAAACAGGCAAATACACACTAAACTTGCACTGACCCCTTTTCCCTTGTTCAGCTTAGGGGAGCATCAGCATTTCATTTTTGACACTTTTCAAATATTATCTTCTATGACTACCAGTAGTGATGCCCTTACAAGCAGCTTGATTATCTCAGTTTTGAGCACTTGCATTTCCAACATGCATTATTCTGGAAGTGTCCTGTCATTTGCTTAAGAAGTTTAAAGACACTACTCAGCCAGGAGGGAAGAGGAAAAGCCTGTGATGTCTATTTCCATGCCACTTAAGTACCTCCTATTAAATCAGGTTTCCTAATTTCTGACCACACTTCATGATAGGAGGTCCTGGTTCCCAGGAAGTGCCAGGTTGTTCCAGCCTTGAGCAATGGTCTGACTACCAAACTGGAGAGAGCATCCTCACACAGTAAGTACTTCACAAACATTAATTACTTTCAGAAATCCTCAATGGATTAGTAAATCTTATTACACACTTTTTAGTTAAAGATGCTCAGAAGTAGGGTGCGAGATTGGCTTTTCTAAAATTGGTGACCATCTTTTCAGATGTTGAACTTCAAGAATGCTGAAAAGCAACTCATTGAATGACTTAAACCGGGATGAACCCGTGAAAAATAAGGCTTCCTTTTGGAATACAGCACCTACAAGACAAGTAAGAATAATTTCGGAAAGCTGAAACCTGCTTTAAAGGATTTCTGTGTGAAGCAACATAGCTGCATGGTTGAAATAGGGCTCTAGAAGTATGAAGATTTTTATTCTAAATATCATTCCTTGCTTAACCTCTGTGAGTTTCAATTTTCTATATCTATAAAATAGAACTCTTACTTGGTCTTACTTGATATCAATGTTTGTTAAGCATTTGGGCTCTAAAGTGCTGACACATTATTTGCAGCAAGGAATCCCACTGTTGTCTATAATAATTCATGTACAACCATGATGACACGCATGCTGGCTCACAGCTTTAGAAATTCTTGAAGGAAAGTTGCTAAGAGTATTATACGTTAAACCAGGAGGAGAATATAGTCCACTAAACCTTTCTCAAGTGCATTAGTATCCTGGGGCTCATAGTGTCTGCACTGCTCCTTATTATGAATGAACAACTTTTAAACTATAACATTTTTACATACAGAAAAAGGAAACAGATACCCTCAGTCAGAAATTAATTTTATTGTGGATTTAAAAAAAAACAAAACAAAACACCAAACACAACCCAACAAAGAACAAAAAGGAAAATTCCCACAGCTACTAAAAGCTCATTCCCACTCCCTCATAGCTTTACCAAAAAACCCCCAACAAGGTAACCCTCCCAAAACCAAAACCCCCAAACAGAGTGTGAAACACTTTTGGGTACAGACCCGTTCTCAATGGCTTGTGACTTCTCTCTAAGGAATATACCCTGTCTTACCACCACTGTGTCACTGCAGCTTGTGAAGAGACCTTGATCAGACAGTATGTTGTCACAGAGAATGGAGCCATGGATCCCTTCTGCTTCCTGGTAGGCTTAAGGGCCAAACCTTGCCGTCTTCTTTACCTGTACATTAATTCTTTCTGCAATTCAGTTGATGCTTTTTCTTGAAACCTTGCACATCTTCCTTTCAAACGTGAGCACTGAAACCATCTTCATGTCTCCTTCTGAGGTAGCTTCTTTTGTGTGAACAATATTCAGAAGCCTTGATTTAAATTCTGAGTTTCTTATCCCAAAGCCAAAGTGACATCTAGAGAGCTTCTTGTGGAGGGTTACCCAACCAACAGGTAACAGAAAGGCTTTTAGACTGGCTAGAAATTCAGAGATATTTTCTCCTTCCATTTGGTTTCTTAGATGGGAAACATATATTTTCTCAGCTAGAAATTTGGGGTTGGTACTTAATGGTTTTAAAGCACCTCTATTAATTCTTTATATTCCATCTCACCTGGTTCCTGTGGAAAACATAAGCCTTTAAACACTGCAAATGTCACTTTTCCCCATTAGTGTTAGAAAACCGATTTTTTTTTCCTGACCAGTATCTCTTATAGCATTTCCAGTAAAATCTGATCACACCACAGTGCATACATTACATATTTTTCTTCTGTAGTATTATGCCCTTTATTTGTCCGTTTATTTTTACACTTTTTACTTTTTTAACCCCAGAGAACTCTGACACTGTCTGAATCATATGTTTTTAAAGATCTCAATCTGCTGAAAATATTCCATGTTACTCCATTTGCAAAGAGGAATCTCATACTGAGAACTTTCTCCTGCAGATTACTCGAATCCAAAGGAGACAGAGCAGGAGTGAATGCTCCATGCCAGAGTAGATGGTGCACTTCTCCCTGTGACACACCACCTCCACTGAAGCGCAGTACCCCACAGACAGCAGCCACCCCACAGACAGCAGGCATCCCACAGATATTAAAGCATGGTTCTCAAAGTCATAGCCACCACTTTGTTAAGTGCACCACAAAATGTAACACTCCTATGTCTTTACAAAAACTTTACACTATATAGGCCCCAAATCCACTAATTCTGTGGTTTGTCATTGAAGATGACTTTGAAAATGTTCTCCAGGGAAGAAACAATGAAAGAAAAAGTTTAAAATAACTCTTGAACATTAAGTCTTGCTCTTATCAAGCTCTTGTCTTCTGTAGTCCTTTTTTAATCCTCTCCAAAGCTTTCAAAGAGGTTCTCCTTTGAGAAAGGACCAAACATGCAACACTTCTGGAAGACCGCTTGTCTTTCGATAAAATGAGGGGCAGATGAAAAGCAGGAAGAGGAAGGGCAACATCATTCTTGCAATGGAAAACTAGCCACAAACTTATAGGTACAGATGACTCCATGTAGAGCCTTACCTCTGCCGCATACTTCATCCCGTCCACCGTGTGCTCAGAGCCGGCCTCATCATTGGATCCCCAGTGGAAGTGAATCTGGCGCAGCCTGTAGGTCCCGCTGAGCGGCCCCCCAGTCAGCACTGGAAACCCAAGCAGAGGAAAAGACTTCACTGAGAGAACAGGAGACTCTACCCACATCCTCTAACCTCACACCAGACTTCAGTCTTTGGACACTCCTCTGCTCCTGCTCATAAGTTGTCTCAGACGGTTTCCCATTTCTTGGAAGTACTACAGAAACCCTCACCTGTTGAGGATATGACTATGAAAATTGCATTTAGGGGCAGGTTAGTGGGTTATGGCCCACTAAATGATATGCTGTTATTGTCAATGTTGGATATTTCTCAGAGAATGGGAAAATACTTCTATTTTACAACACTCTAGAGTTTTCTCTCTTGATTATATTCAAAAGAATCACTAAGAAATTAAGCTCAAAATAGAGGTTTTATAAATAAGGAACAGGATCATAAAAATGTGGTGTCAGGAGAATTTATTTTCCTCTTTGAAATTTGGGCGAAAATAGTCAGAGCTTAAATTCTCAGGGCTCTTTCCTTTATTTGAAACTAGGTTTGAAACTATATCAGATTGAAGTCTGAGGAAAAGGAGCTTATATTAACATGAATAAAATTAAGCCAATGCTACATATGCGTTGTACAACTGCATTATTACTGACAATTAGCCAGGGCTGGAAAGCATGTCCTATGAGGAGCAGCTACATACTTTGGGTTTGTCTAGTTTGGAGAAAAGGAGGCTGAGGGGTGTCCTCACTGCTCTCTATTTCAGAGGAGGGGAAGCAGAGAGGGAGCTTCTGGTCTCTTCTCTCAAGTATCCAGTGACAGGACTCAGGGATAAGGCTCAAAGCTGTCCCAGGGAAGATGTAAATCGGATTCTAGGAAGCATTTCTTTACCATGATGGTGGTCAAACATTGGAACAAGCTTCCTAGAGAGGTTGTCAAAGCCTCAGGCTTATCAGAGTTTAAGAAGCATTTGGACAATTCCCTTAACTTTTAACTAGCCCTGAACTGCTCAGGCAGTTGGACAAGATGATTGCTGCAGGTCCCTTCCACCTGAAAGAGTCTACTCTATTCTATTCTTTTTATTTATATTCTCTTCTGTTCTAATTCTGTTCAAAATAGCTTGCATATGGGTGGGCTTTTCATTATTTTGCCTTAGCAAGTGCTGGTAATTTTCTTGTCAGACTTAGAATCAAAATATCTCTTCACAGAGCTTTGAATGTGAATTACACTCAGAAAGATTCCTAATTCACAGCAAAACAAATCACTCCACTCGCCCAGCTCCATATGTCCTCTGAGTATTTGGGAATCAGTCTGGAATAGTTTACTGTCTCATTATAGAAATTTTAAGGGGAAATAAGGGGACATTTAGCCAGATGTTTTTTAAATTAAGAGCAGTAGGGATGACAACAGCATTTTTTTCTCTCTTCTAGGTTTAGTCCAAAACCCAAACTTTCTTAGGAACAAAATACACCAAATAAAGATGAAAGAAGAATTTTTAAGTTGCCTATTTCCTAACACAAGTAGCTTGGATAATGAAAAGAAACTGGGACTGTTTATTCTAGGAAAAAAATATTTAACTTCCTTAAAGCTTCAACTCAAGAACATGCATTTACACAGCCTATAAACTTAGCAAACAGAGGAGACGGGGCATTGGCATTTTTAAATTCCTTCTTCTAAGGACTGTAAACTTGGATGTAAATGATCCTAGAAAAGTGTAAGGATCGGTGTTCAAACTGGCTGAGAAAAAAAGTATTATGTAGAAATGCACCAGCATGAAATTCTTATACTGAAAAATGTGGGAAATGGCCTGTTGATGTATTTGTGCCACATCACACAGTGATGGTAAAATCCTTTCATTACAACAGTAATTAAGGAAGAGGGTAGTCAAAAGTTTTTAAGGCAAATATCAGTTATCTCGAATTTTGAAAAATTCTGGAAGAAGATCAATAGAACAATTTCAAAGAATGGAGCTAATGTGGTACCAAAAAGCATAAACAAACTTACACAAACAGTTACAGACTTGACAGACCAGTTCCAATGCTGACCAAAGTGAGGAAATAGTTCATATGGGAGTCAGTTAATAGTGCATTAGAAGATGCTAATGTATTTAGTACCAATTAATTTGATTTTTTTTTCATGAAACCAACACATGGCAGGAGTTCTTACTTCACAGAGGTGCCCCAGAAGCCAAATTTGGGCCCTAGAAAATTCAGTATTTTTTGAACAATGACCTGAAAGAAAACAAAAACAACACTGATAAAGTTTGTCAGTGACAAATATCAGGGAAAATAGTGAATTACTCAGTTTATGGTTGTGGATTGAAGAATCTGGTCCATGCATAGAAGACATGGAGTCTACCGAAGGACACTGGGGATTCCATCTATTAATTATCTGATCAACATCTGTCAGTGCTTTGCCATGATATGAACTATATCCTTGGAGATACGGCCTGAGGAAAGCAGTGTGAGGAGGATCACGCCACTGTTGCTTTGGTACCAGGGGAAGCCTAGAGAAACACTGTGTTCAGTGTTCATGTCACTTCATGGATGGATTTAAGAGAGTGGAAGAGGTTCTCGGTGTATTCACATTCATTACCTGTTTTTTTTTTTCAAGCTGTGAGGGTAATTAACAGTTAGAACAACTTACCAAAGGTTGTGGTAGGTTCACCATCGCTGGAAAATTTGAAATCAAGAGTGTATATTTTTCTAAGAGATGTGCTTTAGTTCACCAGCATCTACTAGGCTCGAAGCAGGAATTAATTCTGGGAAGTTCCATGGCATCTGACACAAGGTCAGACCGATCATTGATGGTCAGCTGGTGGCTTTCATGCAACATCAAATATTGACAGAAAGTTTAAAACTAAGACTGTTCAGGAAACAAAAACATGACGGTGTCTCCATCTATGTCTCTCCCTATTGCCACTGGTAAATCCTCAGGACTAATGGGTCATCAAAAATTAGTGTCGCTCAGGCTTTGATTCTTGTGAAAGCATCATATGGTCTTGGATCCTCATCTAAGCCTCACACAGCCACAAAATGATTTTATTGCTTGAAGATTCTGCACTCCTACAGCTTCAAAGGGAGGCATGCTGGCTTGCCCAAAATCCAAGAGAAGGTTTCAAAGATGAAGGCACTAACAATTCAAAGACTATGATAAACCAGAAAACTTCTAAATAAGAATTATTGTTTGCAAAAAGGGAAGCTACATACCCGTGGAAAAAACTGGGGCAATAATAGTTTTCAGAGAAGAAAAGGGATTACTTGGGACCTATTTCAGTTGTTCCATATTGGCTCTTACTTGTCATAAGAAGTCTGAGTAGGTTGCAAAAAGGGGAAAAACATATAACCAAACCTGCAGCTAAATTCAGGTTAGAGATTTGAGCGATCGGTTGGAATGAACCTGTAATGAGACATAAAGGATTCATCTGCAGTGAGAGAGAGACAGCAGCATTTGAAAAACTGTACACAACACTGTTCAGACAAGGGGCTGGCACTCTCCAGCTATTGGGGGTGGATCGAACCACTCCTGTGAGTAGGGAATCCCAGCACTTTCTGAGAAACACAACCTTGAATTTGTGTCCAAATATGTTCCCACACTGTATCATGCTGAAAGACAGGGAAAAAGGAATCTCTCATCCAGAACAGCAAAGCCTTACTGTTTATAAGGAGTTCATACCCAGCAGTGAGACGTGCCCAGGCTGCAGGCATTCTACTTAGGAATTGGTGGAGGAAGTTACAGCGCAAGAGTAAAGGAACAAACCTGATTTGTTGACGGTGTCATCAAACTCCACACTGGTGGAGTGCCCGTTGTTAAGGATGATTTTAGCAGAAGCTGGATCATAACTGGGATTTAGAGGACGGAGGGAAGGATCATACTTGGTTTCCTCAGTTTTGATGTCGATAGGTGACTGACGGTCTCCATTAGCAACAGGAAAAACCTCCTTCCAGTGGGCAGGCCCTACAATGGATTGGAGAAGTCTAAATTTCTGACAGCATCCTCATTCTTATGAAAGAAAACTCTGCTTGAATTGTCCTCATCTGCACTTTTAAATTCAAAAAGGATGCATTAGGAAAAACACAGATCAAAATATCCAGCTACTTTTGCTGCATCACATTGCAATAGCATTTCTCAGGACCCCTTCATGTACCTTGCATGCACCTTTAAACAAGGCCACATGCAGTATGTGCTTAATTATTCTCAGGTAAGACACAGCTATGCACAAGACACCTACAACAAATGCTCATTTAAATCAGGCATCCTGTATCCAACAGGCACTATGTCCCAATAAATTTTTGGCATACCATTTTTGCCTAATGTCATGGCTCATTGTATCTTTTAAGGATTACCTCTTTTCTATGCAAATCCCCGCATTAAAATTTTTTTTGTGCCTTAGTCAGGTGCTGCAAAAGACCTGAGAACATATCTTCCACTGATCACTCTGAATGAGATGGGGAGAAGTCAAAAAAAGGCAATTGATGATGTCAGAAAATGCTGAGTGGCTCCTGGAGCCTGATGGCAGTGCCTGGAATCTAAACACTGCTGCACCTCTGATCACCTCCTCCCAGCCCACCAGCTGTGCGCACCAGCTGTCACAAGAAGGAGAGACTGTCACCCTCTAAGCATGAAGTGTCCATACACACAGGCACACCTACACACACACTAGTGCAGCACTGAAAAAATCAAAGAACAGGAACACTCATACATGAGGTTTGGATTTCTACTGCCTTCAGCTGATGAGAGTAGATCTTCCAGACACAGATGCAGCACCATTCACCAGACTTAGGTGGAAATTATAGGACTAAAGAAGCTGTTAATCAATACTAGTCATCTCAAGCTTCCTCTCTCCAAACAGGCTAAGCCAAATGTCACCTGAAAAGCTAATAAATCAATAATATGGATATGAGAAAATGGCAAATGACATCCTAAAATAGTAAAAAAAGCTTCATTGTTAAGATGTGTGAGTTATCTGTTGTTATCTACTAAACATCAGAGAGTTCCCTATAATTCACAATAAGAATATACGTGCCATTGTTTAATCATATTTGGATAAGAGGGTAAAGAAAAATATGAACAATAAGTTCCTTGAGGAATATATTCTATAAAGACAGAAAACAAGGTTTAGGATGGAAAGGAGGGGAAAGTAAGAGGAAAGAAGAAAGGAAAAAGACAAGGGTAAAAGGTGAAAATCTGCAGGGCAAAGGATCTTTCAGTATTAAGAAGATCACAGCACTTGTTTTTCCTCCAGGCTTATAATGGGTAAGAAGCATAATAAATTGATTGAGAGACTGGATATAAGAAAAACTTAATATGAGCATCAGAACCTGGTCCAATAAAATCTGCATCACCGGAAATCTTCATAACTAACTCCCTATACTGAAGATAACTGACCTCAGTGTAAAAATTGGGTCTGGGTCTTTCTGGATGGCTTAGCACTTATATAAAAATGACAACAAAAAAGGATGAAAACATATGATGCAGTGGTTAACAGCCTAACATCAAAAGCTGTTAGAGATATTTTTCTTTCCTTGACTTCAATAGAAGAGAGCAGAGCTCAGAAACTCACAGGTGCTAAAAGCACCCATGCAGCCCTGCAGTAAATCAGGGAGGAAGCGCCCACAGCGCCAGGGGGCCGCAGCTTGCACAGCACCTGGGCAGAGAATGATTCTCCTTTGATCCGCACTGAAAAACAGAAGTGGGAAAAACTTGTACAGAATGACCTAAGACTTAAGCCTCAGAACAAAGACAAAAGCCTTCAGTCTTGATTTGTTAAAAATTAATTATTCCATTAACTAAACTCAATAAAGAAATGGATTCTAAGACAGAAGATAAAAATCCTACTGGTTTGAAACATAAAACTGTTTAAACTTAATTCCTCTCAGTTCATGAACAGTCACAAAGCCATTCAATATTCTAATTACATACAGTTTAGAATATAATTTTAATTGTGTTTAGATCCTACTACCCTGTACTTAGGGATGCAACACAAAATTTTATTTGTAAGGAGCATCACTCCATAGTTTATACCTCACTACCATGATTTGGAATGCTTAGAATAAGCTTATTTTTTATTTTAATAATTAGTTATTGCTTAATTTTAATATTTCTAATACTCCTTAACTGATAAAAGGCAAAAATACATTTAAGCACTTAACTACTTGGTCTCCTATTGCTCTGACTCAGAAATAACCATAGTTATTTGAATTATATAATATGGATGACTTGTATTCAGAAATAATACAAAGTTGCCAAAAAGAGGACCCAAAGCTGTGATTCTGTCACTGTCTAATTGTTTAACAGTAATATTCAGTCCTAAAAAGACATTATTACTGGTTTGGCATTTGTTCTTGGCTCAGATGACCAAAATACTGTTTTGCTATGGTGACTAAACACATACTAGTAAACAAACTACCAGACATCTGACCTTTCAAAATATACAACAAAATACCAAGAAACTTCAGCTCATTTTGTACCAATAGGTTATATCAAGAAGTATACCTTACTAGATAATCTACCAGCAATCTAGTACAATTATCATGCTTTTGCCACTCCAGGAAAACTGTGACTCAATTAATTTCTACAGACTCTAGCCCAGTGCAAACCTGTATATGACTTGTAAAAAAAAGTCATTGTTGAAAGAAATGCTCAAATGCATGTCATATGATCAGATTTAAGTCAGTGGGATTTACAGGGTGAAAATTTCTTCTGAATTCAGATCTAAATTTGATGCTTCCATATTAAAATAATGTACACTTCAGTTTTCTAAATATGTACTTTAAGACATATCCAGGGAGTATAACTCATTAATTCACCTACCTTCATTTTTTTCTTTACTGAATGAAAGTGATTAATATACCTATTTTTGAACTTATGAAATCCTCTCCTGCTGTTGGGAAAATGTTCTCTTGCTAGAGGCAATTTTCTAGTAGCTCTTAACAATCAAAGCTATTGTGACTGAGATTTATGACAAAAAAAATGAACCATCTGCTCTGGAGATTTCATGCCTTTATTTTGCACACAGCATTATCACAGGCAATGAGTTGCCTGACACTTTTAGGTCAGACTATTGCTGCACATACCACTCACCAGCATTGCATACAGCCAGTTCATGAAACAAATCTCACAATGAAGGCAGTTAGGAATTTAGCAGGAAACAGAACTCACTATAGCACCTCACACTGTTGCATCTTGATCCAGATGAAGCTAAAGATCACAGATTTCATCAACAGGTTAACCTGAGACAAACAAGACACTACAGGATACAGTTGGGTTCCAGTGAGCCTCTATGCATTCATAAATGGAGCATGTACAGGTGAAAAAGGATTTGAGTTGTTTTTGGGTTTTTTTCCACAATTTGTTATTATATACAGAAAGTTCACTATTTTAATATGGTCCAACCTTGACAGGATCACATTCTCATTTATTTCTTAAGATAGTCTATTGCCTAGTTCATCAAACACACAGTGCTTAAATTTATAAACATAGATTTGCAAGTAATTTGATTGCGTATTAGGTTACAGTAAGATGAGCTCAAACAAAATAAATTAAAAATTCATGATGGATAAAATTAAGCACCTTTTTTAAAGCAGATATTGAGATGATGTAGTTATTCTCAGAAAGAAAAAATGTATAAGGAGTTATGGCTCAACTGAAGTATCTTAAAGATCCTTTTCAATGTAAATGATTCTATGAATTAATATTCCTTTTATCTATAAAATGCCTCAGCATTACAGTAGTAACTAGATCAAGAGAAATTTTTACAGTAAAAGACAATACATGTAAATAATTACCACATATTTCATTAAACAAATAGTAAACTGAAGGCAATTGATTTCTCACTGAGGTCCCTTCCAACCTTACTAATTCTGTGATTTGCCTTTTAACTAAAGCAATTCCCTTTTAAATGAAAAAAGACTCAAGGGGTGAGAACATTCCTGTCCTGACAGGAACCTTAAGCAGCAGTGAAAAGCATGCATGATGCCACACTGAAGCCAGTTTTCAAGATTTCAGTATTATGCCTCTACAGATAAGCAACATCAAAACTGTGACATAAGAAAAGTGGCAAGAAAGCAAAGGCCAGGGTTTTCACAGAAATAAAATAATTCCTTCATGCATTTCAGAAATATGTGCATCAGAGTAACTGAGAGCTTCTGCACTAGGTTTGTGTGACAAGAGACTGGTAGCAGGGAGGCTGCAGGTGTGGCTCCTGTGAGAAGCTGCTGAAACTTTCCCCATGTCCAATAGAGCCAATGCCAGCTGGCTCCAGGATGGACCCACTGCTGGACAAGGCTGCGACCACCAGGGACAGTGCTAGCACCTCTGGGATAACAGATTTAAGACAGGGAAAAAGTTCCTGTGCAACAGCAGCCAAAAGAGAGGAGTGAGAATATGTGAGAGAAACAGCTCTGCAGACACCAAAAGGAAGGGGAGGACATGCTCCAGGAGCCAGAGCAGAGATTCCCTGCACCATAGTGAAGACCATGGTGAGGCAGGTGTGCCCTGCATGGAGGTTCACAGTGAAGCAGAGATCGACCTGCAGCCCATGGAGGGTCACAACTGGAGAAGGTGGATGTGTCTTGAAGGAAGCTGTGACCTCATGGACAGCCTACACTGGAACAGGCTGCTGGCAGGACCCCAAGGAAAGCCCAAGCTAGAGCAGGTTTGCTGGCAGGACTTGGGACCCTTGGGGAATCCATGCTGGAGCAGTCTGTGAAAAACTGCAGCCTGTGGGAGCACTCACACTGGAGAAATTCATGGAGGGCTGTCTTCATGGGAGGGATCCCATGCTGGAGCAAGGGCAAAGTGTGAGAAATCCTCCCACTGAAGAGAAGGGAGAGACAGAGATAACACGTGATGAATGGACCGCAGATGCTGCAGGAGAGGAAATAGAGAAAATCAGGAGCAAAATTTGGCCTGGGATAAAGGGACAGTTGGAGGGAAGGTGTTTTAAAGATTTTATTTTATTTTATTGTTACCTTACTCTGATTTGATAAGCAACAAATAAAACTAACTTCCCCAAGTCGGTTTTGCTTGTGAAAGTAACTCGTGAGTGATCTCTCTCCCTGTCCTTATCTTAACCCCTAAGCTTTTCAGTCTATTTTCTCTCCCCTGTCCAGCTGAGGAGGGGAGTGATACAGTGGCTTTGGTGGGCACCTGGTGTCCAGTCAGGGTCAATCCCCAAAACTTTAAATTTTCTACCTAACAATGAGCCCCTGTCCTTAAACATGGATATTCCATAAATGCAGACATGTATGCTTTAATATTTGCTAGTTTACTTTAAGCACATGATGATGTGTCTGTTGCAAGTAACAAATGCAGAACTCATAGTGAACACAAATGCCTTTTCAACTCTTCAGGCAGTCAACCATACAATATAACTGCATCAGATTTAATTAATTTCACTTTATTTCTGTCTCAATTGTAAAAGGTAATCTTAGTTTCAGAGAAACTGTTTTCAGGCCCATGAAGGCCAACAAAATTTTTCAAGAATCAGAGCAATTCCCTTCACCCACTACACAATCAAACAAAAAAAAGAAGCAAAATCAGTACAATAAATGCAGTAAAAGAGAAAAAGCTGAGAAATAAAACTGATGCTAAAAAGGAGCACTGAAGTGTTTGACTTCCATGCCTCCCTCCTCAAATCTCCTGTTAAAGGTGTGGTGAAGGCGACTGACTGATGAGGAACTATCCACCCCATAGCTGCTGTGGGGCTCCAAGAAAGGAGTGAAAGGCAAGCTCTATCTCAGATATGTTACCAGGCAGGCAATAATTAAGAGTTTTATAAGAGAGATGGGGCCTCAAGCAAGGTCCAGGGCCACCCCAGTAGAAATTCTGGTGGCCTCCCCTCTCTAGAAGTTGAGAATAGCAAACAAGAAGAGATAGGATAAGGGAAGGAAAGTGGGCTTCTTATCTGGACAGTGCAGGTGAAGCTCAAAGCATAGAAATGTATGGAGAAAAAAATTAGAAAAACAAGACCCATTTACGTCTTCAGGGGAGGGGTAGGGTAGACTGCACAACAGCAGATAACACACCCAATCATTGCAACACCTCTGTGATCCACCACCACCCTGTTTTTCAGGAAAAGTACATACATCCAGAAAATATGGAATAAGAGGGCCAGGAAGGAAAGGTAGTACTTGCACAAACAGTATTCCAAAGTCTAAGTAATAATATACACAAAGCATGTTCTTATAGGCATTAAAGAATGCTTATAATATATATATGCAAATATATAGCTGTCTCCCTTTACTGTCACAGCGTTTCATTTCTCTGTGTACAGACAATGTAAGATATTCCATGCATTTTATCACAGTTGAGCCTACAATTTACAAAAAACACTTTCATTCCTACTTGCATGACTTGTGAGACCGTCTGCACACTGGAGCAGCGTTTGCATGACTGAAGATGCAAAACAGAGCAAAGTCTTTAAGCTTGCTGATGAGCCCATCCTGGGACTTCAAAGACTGACAAGATGAAGGAAACCACGGAACAACTGAAATCCAAAGGCATCTCCTCTTAGATGCATAGTTATACATTTAAATAGCCAAGTCAAGTAACTAGGAATTCCCACCGTGTAGCAGAAGCAGAACACAGCTGGAATCAGAAAAGCACTGCTGGTACAGCAGTTCCGATCAGTGCAGCTGTCAACCACGTACTCGATCAGCGCACACAACTGTTCAGCTAAAGGAGCAAACGAAATCCCAACCGGGAACGCTCAGACCCGACCCGGAGCCCGGCGCGACCCTGCAGGCGATGCCTGCACCCACGGACACCTCTCAGCCGCCTGCCTTGCAGAATGCCGAGACAAAAACCCGCTCGCTCTCACTCTGCAAAAGCGTTTCAGCTCATCCAGCCCTCCCAAGGGCGCGGGAGCTGCCGAGCCCGGGAAGGGCAGCGTTGCCCGCGGGAGCCCGCTGGCCGCCGTTCCCTACCGTTGTGCTCGTCGTATCCCCAGTGCAGCATGGCTCTGCTCTCCTGCCGCCACGGGACGGGACAGGACGGGATGGGACGGGCTGGGGCGGGAGAGGCGGCTGCGCCCGATTTGAAGGCGACGGGCGGCGACGCCCCGATCCTCGGGCGCTGATAAGGAGACCTGCAGCGCTCCGGCCGCCCGGCCCCTCCGTGCCTGTTGTCGCCCTAAGCCCTTCGTCAGCCCAGGCTCTCCACAGCCTACCCCCAGCACCGTCGGGGTGGCCCGGGGGAGGCAGTGCCATCTCCCAAGGGCCCGCTCCAACAGAGGGAAGGTGGCTTCACCAGCCCCAGTCCCGCCAGAGTTGTGCGGCAGGGAAAGAGGGCAGTGTCCATTCCTGGGGTCACCCCCGCCCCTCCCGAAAGTTAAGCCATGTGCGCACCTCTGCGTCCCCTCCCGTTTTTCTCCCAGGGGTGTAAACCCAATTCCCTTTGCAATAGGACGCAGGCAGATTTCACGTTTTCCCAAGCGGGGTCGGGAGGCAGGAGGGTGTCCCACAACCCACTGGGAATTTACCCAAGCACGGCGTGTGCCGGGAGCTGCCCGTGGGCACGTGCTCGCGGCAACGCGGGGCTGCGGACCCGGACTTTGGCTGCGGGCACGCGCCAAGGAGCCCCCAGCCTTCCCTTGCTGCAAAAGCCGGGAGAGGCAAGCAGGGCCGAGGTTGAGGCCGGGACAGGGACAGGGACAGGGACAGGGACAGGGACAGGGACAGGGACTGGGACAGGGACAGGGACAGGGACAGGGACAGGGACAGGGACGTTCCCCAGCGCGGTTCCACAGCGCTCAGCCGAGGCGGCGCGCGCCCCCTGGCGGCGCAGGTGACAGCGCTGCGGGCCATTGGCGGCCCTCGCGTCACAACCCCGTGTGACGTCACGCAGCCGCCGCCATGGGCAAGAGCCGCGGCGCGGCCGGCAAGGGCGGCAGCGTGTTCCGCATCGCCCGCAGCGGCGTCCTCAGGGCCAAGGCCAAGGGCAAGGCGCGGCCCGTCACCTCCGGGCTGAAGCAGGTGAGTGCCGCGGCGGGCGGAGGCGCTGGCCGGCCTGCGGCAGCGCCCCACCACGGGCAGCACCCCGGCCCTGCTGCGGCGCCCGCGGGAGGCCTCAGCCCGGCGGGGTTTCCTCCCCTTCGACCTCGCTGCGCGGCGGAGCAAGCCTCGGGACTGATTAAATCGAGCTGTTTTAGGGGCAGTGTGCGTCCGGGCACAAAACGGCAAAGCGCACGATTTTCACCCGGAAATTAGGTTTGTATGTGAATGTATCATCTGCAGAAAGAGAAGCACAAGAAATTAATTTGGCTAATCTGCAGGCATATGCCACAGAAGGCATCCGGCTGTGCTTGAGGGGTGTCGCGGAAGTATCTGGTAATATCTCGCATTGTCCTCGGGAACGCGATGCTAAGGGGCGCGTCAGCAGCAGTTCAGCGAGTTCGCGTTCACTGGACTGCATTCCCAGCGTCGCTGAGGGTGTAATTCAGGGTACAGATTAACAAAACGCCTTGGTCCAAACCGGGCGTAGTTACCACGACTAACAAGGGGAAGTCCTGCTCCTTTCCATCACATTCCTCGTCCCAGGAAGGGATCCCTCTGCCAGGCTCTGGGCTATATTCTCACAGCTCTCCTTGATGCTGGCTCAGGAACTCTGCCCACTAGGTGACTCTACTTGCTAAATCAGCGGCAAAAGCCATTAAAAATACATTTTGCATTTTTATGTGCTGGGTTGGTGAGTTGAACAAACTTAATTATGAATGAATGAATGAATGCAAAGAGAAGCATTTTGGTGGGGAAGAACCAGAAAGGATGGAGCCTTTTCTGATTCAGTAGCTGTTTATTTGCCTCAGCTGTCAAGTTAAACTGTCAGTGTGATACAGTGAACAGACCCTAGGAGTGTGCACTGCTGGATGTTTTGCTCTTAATTCCTCTCTGCCCCTTTTTTGCACCTTACATGAGCTGTGATGCTCTATAGATGCTTCTGTGAGCAATTTAACATACTAAAGCAATGGAAAAACAAAGACGCAGAAATAATGTTGGTATTTTTGTGTCTTTAGAGGAGCACAGCTCAGAGGAGGGGCAGAGTGGGTCATGGAGCAGGGAGCAGTGCAGGGGAAGAGGTATGGAGGTGATCTAAGCAAGAGATTTCCAGTTGTGAGCAGCAAGTATGGTATATGGAATATGGTATCTTCTCAAACCCTGCCTCCAGCCTGAGCTGTGTGTTCTGCAAGAGTTCAGCTGTCCCTATAGAAAAGCATCTGTTCATAAAAACAATAGAGGCAGATTGTGGCTTATTTTTTCCACTTGATGCAGTTGCAGTCTGCTGGACAGACATAAGTAAATGGCTCTTAAAAAAAGGCTATTTCAGATTTTCTTCTGCAAGCCAGAGCCACTTGACAAATTAATCTGGTGGACAGACAGGAATGTAACAAACTTTAGAAAAAAACATGTTGCTGGCGTCACATGTCCTTGTAGTCTAGACAGTTCTTTGTAATAAAGGGAGAAACAGGTTTAAAATCATATTCATGAAAAGTCAGTAGCTTATTAGGAGTAAAATTTTATTCTCTGTGTTTGAAGCTGTATTCTTTAAAGCATTAAGCCTTTGGGCTTAATGTAATTTACTTACCATTAAGCAGTATAGGAAGATGCTCAGAAAAAAAAAATTGCTAAAATACATTAATTCATTAATAGCTAAAAGCCCTTTGTAACTGTTCAGACAACTTTTGATGTAGATACCCGTGGTAGCTATAGAGCGTCTTTCTGTGGAGGAGTCCTACCTGAGTACCTGAGGATATCACATATTAAAACATAACCTTCTAAAACCCCAGTGAAGCTGGAAGATGGTGACAAGCCCTGATTGAACACATTAGTACATCATGTTCCAACAGTTCATCCACTCTGATCAGAGTTGGAAGCTGGGACTGTATTTCTCCAGTCACTGTCCCAGTTGAAGTGTTCATCTGAGTAGACCTGTTTTATCAGCCTCATTGCCACTGCTTTCAGAATTACTGTTACTGTATACATGCTCTGAAATTATAGAAGTGAATATGTGTAACCATTCACAGTTTGCTTCTGCCTGTTTAAATTGCTAAGAGGTGAATTACAGGAGTAGCCTTTGAAATAGCAGTAGGTATCCTGAAATTTGGGGGTGCTTGAAGACTTATGTGTGTGCTTCTGGAATGTTTGCAATGTAATTACCTGGCTATGCTCCCGTTCCAGACTTTGGAAGCAGCAGGTGCTAGGGCTGAGATCAACTGAACCTTACTTTGCTGCAGTGGTGAGTTTATGCCCTCTTGCATCCATCCTGCTCCTGTACCAGACAGCTGTCCCCAGAGTTCAACACATGTCCATATTCTAGTGCTTCCTCTTTGAAATCAAAATATTTGATGAACTTACAGAGGCAGACTTAGGCTAAAAGAGAGGCTGAGGTGCCCAGAGATACACATTCTACTCTGCTACAGTTGCAGAATTTTTTTAAACACTGTGGCAAAACCTGGTAGATGCTGTTGGCCAGGCCTGTAATATGGAACAATTAGGATGCAAAGTGTGATGATGAAAGGTAAGCTTCTGGAAGAAATTCAAAATAGTAAAATCATTTACAAATTGTATTTGGTTTGAGGGGCTACAGGCATAGCTTCTCTAAAAAGCTGCTAGAAGCTTCCCTCATGTCTGAAAGCGCCAGTGCCAGCTGATTTCAGAATGGATATGCTGCTGGCAAAGGCAGAGCCCATCAAGCACTCGCAGTGCCTCTGGGATGATGTAGTTAAGAAACGCACCAGCAGCAGTCAGAACAGAGGAGTGAGAATTTTTGAAAGAAACTGCCCTGCAGACACCAAGGTTGGTGTAGAAGGAGGGAGGAGGAAATGTTCCAGGTGTCAGAGCTGAGATTGCTCTGCAGCATTTGTTTGACAACAAATTAAATTAATTTTCCCCAAGTTGAGTCTGTTCTGCCCATGATGGCAACTGGTGAGTGATCTCTCCCTGCCTTTATCTGTACCCACGAACCTTTCATTATATTTCTTGTCCAGCTGAGGAAGGCAGTGGTGGAGCAGCTTTGGTGGGCACCTGGTATCCAGCCAGGGTCAGTCCACCACAGAGGTGAAGGAAGGAACCCTTCCTGGGACTTAACTCCAGCTGAGAGCTGAAGGTGGTGTAGCAGGGCCTGGGAAGCCTGACTTTTGTTTTCTGTGTTCTTTCTGGATCACTATGAGCTCCCACTCCAATAAAGCAAGTTTAACTCTTTAATTTTGATTTTATTAGTACACAGCACATAGTACACAATACACAGATAACCTAATGAAGTAACAGACAAAACATATTGTAACATGTAACAATGGATCCATAACAATTGCAAAAAATGGGGCAATTTCACATCAGTGGAATTTTTGTTTAGTATACCAATGTGTGTGTTTTTTTCTCTCCCAGATAAACATTAAAAATGCTGAAAAAGTTAGCACAATAAATAAAGCATTTGCTGAAGTTCAGAAAGAAATCCAACAGCTATCAAAAGGTACCACAGTAGAACCTCAGAAGACTCAGCAGGTAATTTCCCTTTGTAAAAATCTGAGGAGAATTAAAATAATGTGTATGTTTAAAGCATTATAACGTGTCTCCAGGACTGCATGCAGTCAGTTGGTCAGAATGTGGTGCTGGTAACATCAAGGTGCTGAGTTCAACCCCCTAAGGGCCATTTCCTTAAGAGTTGATGATCCTTGTGGGTCCCTTGCACCTCAGAATATTCTGTAAATTCCTGCAATTGCTTTAGAGTCCCAGTTTTATGAATTTCATTTGTGTGGTAATGCTGAAACCTGGTTACCATGTTCAAATTCTGTATAACTACTACAGTGGAGACAGAAGACGGTGGGCAGCCATGCTGAAGCATGCTTCAAAAGCATATTTTAAAATTACGTTCTAGCTGATTTCTAATTGTTTTTTTAAGTTAGTCCCAGCTTCATCGTCTTGATTTGAAACTCATGTCCACGTGAATAGACACAGAGAGGATGAACCTGGCTGTTCCCTACCTGAAGCACCTG